AACGGAACCTAGAGCCATCCAATTTTGACTGACGTAATCCTTCTGCGAATACGAGGATTTAGAAGTCCAAATTTGAAATTTGGAATTTGTTTTATTATCAGTTGCACATTTTGTAAAATTTTAACGAATTTTCGATTAACAAACTAATAGTGGAAATAATAATTATTAAACATTGAAATATTTCCACTATATTATTAAAATTCCACTTTTTCCATTTGCCTTTCTTTCGCACCTTAACTGGTTTTTTCCGCCTCCGGGCAGAAAGGTTTAGCGGATTCAGAATAAGATTTCTATTGAATTAATTTTCGATTGGGTACAACTTTGATATACCCCCCCAAAAATTACGCGCCAAATCTGGCACTCCCTACGGACTTTTAAGGGTTGCTGTTTCTTATTTTGGTGTTGCCAATTTAGGTTTTTTCAGCTTTTAGGTTTTTGCTGTTGCCAAATTTAGTATTTTCTTGTATTTTGTACCATTTTTTGAGTTTTTTTTAAAGTTTTGTGGCAACAATTTTTGGATTTCATATATGTTTTACCGCCATTTCTTTGTGAAGTGATCAAGCGGATTTCTGACTTGCTGTATTTTGCTGCAAATCTGGTTGTATTTTCCAATTATATTTTTTTTCTATTAATTATTTTTATCTTTTAGCTTTCAATATGCCTACTGCATATAGTGTTGTTGAAAAGTTTCAGGGAATTTTGAGTCGGAAAATTGATAATTGTGCTTCATTTTCGTCGGGTAGGCTGACAGTTGGAAGGCCAGGTATTGTTAATTGTTTATTTTTGCATCATTTGGCTCAAGAATATGTAGATGTTAATTGATTTTTTGATGGAGGTTGGATTGTTGAAGGCTGCAGTGTGTAAGAAATGTGAGTCTGCTATGAAACAAGTTGAAGAAGTCGTATTCGGATGGATTTGTGTATGTTTGTCGCAAAATGGTAGGTGGTAATCAGTGCAACACTGAAATGTCGATAAGGCATAATTCTTGGTTTACGAAGTCTAAGCTTAAGTTGTTTGAGGTTTTGTTGATCCCGTATGAGATTTTGAGAGACACTAAGACAGGCAGGATTGCAGAGGAGTATGGTTTCTCTAGTACTACTTTAGCAGATTGGAGGTAATTCATTAACGAGACCATTTTGAATTATATTGAGCAGAATTCTGAGAAGGTAGGTGGTGATGGTGTTGTTGTGGAAATAGATGAGTCGAAGTTTGGCAAAAGGAAGTATAATAGGGGTCATAGTGTTGAAGGTCAGTGGGTTTCTGGTGGTGTTGAAAGGGGATCAGGTACGGTTTTTTTAGTTGCTGTGCATGATAGGTCTCAGGAGACGTTGTTGTCGGTAATTAAGGAATGGATTAAGCCAGGTACGTCTGTTTATTCTGATTGTTGGAAAAGTTATGATTGTTTGACGGATGAGGGTTTTTAGCATTTAAAGGTAAATCGTTCTTTAACATTTGTAGACCCCGAGTCCGGGTGTCATACAAATACAATTGAAAGTACGTGGAGGCATGTTAAAGCTTCTTTGCCTACGTACAATCGCAAGGCAGATTATAAATTTTACCTTGCGATGTACATGTTTCGTAAATCATGTTTAGCGGCTAATGTTGATTGTTTCAATAAATTTATTGAAATTGCTGCTGGGGTAAATTGGGAGGAATTCAAAACTTCTGTATAAATAATTCTTTTTATTAGATTGCCGACACGTATTTTCAATTGTATTTGTTAAAATTTTTGTGTAAATTGTATATAATATGTTATTCAGTGTCATTTATTTGTATTTTTTATGCATTCATTGTATTTTTAGGTGTTTTTTTTTCCTGTATTTAATGATTCCGTATTTTTTTATGTATTAATTATTTGTATTTAGCGAGAATCCATCTTGGCGAGAAAAAAAAAGGCCCCAAAAACAGGTATTTTGCTTGGCGAGGAAAAAAAGTCGCGAAATTTCCGATTTGGGGGAGGGTATATCAAAGTAGTTCCTTCTATTGAAGTAAATGTAATATTTTCTTTCGAAATAGTTTTATTTTATTGTTTGCTCTGTAAGCATTTCAATAATCATTATGTGTATAATAGCACTCTAAAAAAGTTCAAAATAAATTGCAATAAAGCTCTGCTCTGTGCTAAAAAAATAAGTTAAATAATATGATTTCTTCTATTATCACTTCAGAATGTGATAAATTTAGTATACATTTTTAAAACAATTTCACAATCTTAATTTGGGAGGACATTTGCTGACAAATTTAATAGTGCGTCTAAATATTCTTAAAGCGAATCCGATACTAAACTAGTGCTGCCATCTGTTGCATAATTTTGTTTCTATTAATGATTGTGTTATCTTAAGTTAACACAGAAATACTTTGTTTCCTCTGTTCTGTTAATATTTCACCACGATAAGTAATTGCGCTTTCATTCCTGGAACTCATAAGAGATTATTTTTGATTTATTATAAAAATATACTTTTATTATGAGCTGCAACTACAGCGGTAACACATAACCTGTAATATTCCAAGTTCATATTATTTAAAGTATAAAGAGATTTAAAAAAAAGTGTAAAAAGACGCTACATAATAAAAGAATCTATAGCATAATGTAATACAGATTTTAAAATAAAAAATATTTAAGAAAAATAATTTGTGGAAAATAATTTATAACCGAGTTTAAATGAAAAACTAATTTAAAATAATTAAATAGAAAGTGATAATTTATTCAAACATAAACATATCAACTGTTTTTGAACTATTGTACATAAATCCCCAAGAATTTTACTAAATATTATCTTTGAGCGAAACCGCCGTCAGGCCCGGTGCAAACCTTACGGCCACAGATGACCGCAGAGCGACAAAAAATTTAAAAATTTAGGCAAGAAATGGGCGGCAGCATTTAGCAATCGCAAAATCTGTATCCGATAGCAAGAAGTCTAGTGCAGGATCTTTCTTTGATACCTCTAAACGCAATAACGCATAACTCTAGGTCAAGGTCTTTATTGTTGAAGATAACAAATAGTTATTGAAGATAACAAATAGTTAAACAAATAAGTAGTATTCAAATATTACTTATATTTGCTGCTTAACTAACATCATCATTGAAAAAGTACCTCTGATATAAAAAAAATAATAACTATTTTCCTGTCGCCACGTCTGGTGCTGAAACTTCCTAGCTAGTATTGGAAATACATAAGGACATTATAAAAAAAAAAAATTGTTAGATTATTTGTTGATTATTTAGATTCCATGAAGTATTGTCATGTTAAAATGCTTATAGTACATTACGTAGTGTATATTATTACTATTTTGCCGTATACCTAAATGTTATAGCATATTACGTATAGCATATTATTATGCTGCTAAATGTAAGCAATAAATAAAGAGAAATAGAATAAAATATGTGGGGGAACTAACAGACTACCTCCCTGTGGTGTCCCCTGGAAATGCAAAGTGCAGTTAAAAGTCTGGAAAGTACACTGAAAATTTATGTTAACACACTGTAAAATTTGTTCACACTAAAGTATATTTATCTAATAGACGAATGGCGCTGCGCCTGTAACGACGTTCTACGATGAATCTAAATGCCACATCTAAATTTCTATAAGTAGTGGTTCAGTGATAATTCTATATTGAAAATACTCAATCTAGTTTTAAAAAGGATTTATTAAAATGCCAAACAAATTAATCTAATCTAATGTTACATCTCATCAGCAGCGTTCGAGCTGCGTCAAATCAAATCGAAAGTAAAGTTCTGACTGTTGCCATTATGATGCAGAAAAAAGTTTCTATTCAAACCGGAATAAAATTTATTAATGTAAATTTCAGGAAATAGTATATTAATATAATATTTCACTGTAACGAAATATATACATAGCACCAATAAGTTGAAATCTCGGCCGGAAGAATTCTTTTTTTTTTTTTTTTTTTTTTTTTTTTTTTTTTTTTTTTTTTCATCTGTTTCGTTTCCTTTATGGCTAAAAATAGGATATGGACATTTCCTATCTCATATAAGGCTTCAAATATATGCATTTACAACTGAAATATTATACTAAGATATTACACCCTAAAATATTAAATTTTATTATCAAATTATAAATTTTAAGTACATCTTCTAGACGTTTAGCTGTAATTTTAGTTTCCACGATGAACAATTCTCTGATAAAAGCCCATGCCACAGAAGTCAATGCAGACGACAATGGTCATTCATAAGTAAAACATCTGTGCCAGCAGTGCGACTAATCAGCTGTAAATGAGATTTCAAGAGCTTTTCCACATAGCTGTGACCGTTTACAGAATTTCCATCAAATATATGAAGCTCGGTGTGGGCATTTTTGATAGTTCCACGACACCAATTCTGCGCGAACGGAATACTTCATGAACAAAGCAAGGCATGTTATATATTCCTCGCTCGTTCCAGATCAAAACACGTTTAGTATACCAACTAAATAGTATTCGGTCTTATTCCTCTTGGCTGCGTAGAACATCGCGAGGCCCAAATTAATTTTCTCAACATTTTGAAGCTGTAGTGCAGCAGCAGCAGTCACTGCACGATTGTTTTGAGCCGAGAATGACAGAAAATGGTTTTCGGATGTAGTTGTTTCTCCTGGCCATCCTTGAGCAGGCTACCTGCTAATTAACTGCTTAAAGAACAGTTAGTATTTAAAGTAAAACTATGAACTTCAGCGCTTTTTAATTGTTAGAATCTTTTAAAACAGGTTTTTAAAACTTAAAATAAATAACAGAAACTAACAATACACCAAATTACATTTGCCGCAATTAGTTCAAACTAGCCAAAGATATACCAACAATGTCGAAATACATTTGCAAAAAATCGACGAGGGAGAGCTTTTTTTTTTTTTTTTTTTTTTTTTTTTTTTGTTGTTGTTGTTGTTGTTGTTATCAGCTTTTAAGACAGTTTGAGTTTAACAGTTCTTGCTGTGTTTCCTGATCTCAGTGACGCAAAAGATAGCCTCCTTTTGAGAAAATATTACCATCTTATCGATGCTCCAATTCCCAATCACATCCACTCGAATTTTGTTTACTGTAAAGAACTTATCACTGTATAAGTGAAGTGATGGTTGTTTTCCAACAGCATAAAGAATAACACAAACTTTATCTGACTGCGTACTAATCCAGTCTTTATTTGAATGTAACTAAACTGTCTATTGCAGACTGATTCCTTGCAATTGGATTAGCATTACTGTTGTGTTCAGGATCTTTGGATATGACAAGTAAGCATTTGATTCATTCACACTTTGCAACATTAAAAAATGTTTGCTTCTTAAAATTAGCCGCAGATTTTCTAAATGATTCAGTTAAAATACCATTTTAATTTATGTTTATTAGGCAACTCTTTATTATGCGTTTGCTGTTATTGTATTATTGACATCTCTCAATGATATGATTGTTTTCAGTGTTGATAAAATATCATTCGACCTAAACAGCTATTGTGGCCAATCGATCATGAATAAGACTTTTCACTTTCGACATCGAGAAAATGGTTACCAAAAACATTGCTAAGTTAATTAACAATATTTTTTTATTTCGTGCCAACATTATACTATGAGCGTCAAAAATAAAATAATTTTTAATAGTTTATAAAAAGTCTATAACAAAAGTTTGAATATTATTTCTTGTTAGCATTAAAGATTGTTATATTGACGTTTGCAGCAGTACAGATATTGCAAGCCTATTCATACATTTCTTTTTAATTTCGCTGAAACGATGATATAAATTTTTAATGTTTTATTATTTTTTTTCATTCCTTGCCCGAAAACGAAATGCAGAAATCTACTTCAAGAGACTGCAAAACTTGTTTTTTGTTCTTAAATTACTTTTTAATAATATTCAAAGTTAAAGATTTAAATTATGAAATGTCAAAGTATTTATTATTACTTCCTTGTACTAGATAAAAAGGAAGTATTGTAATCGCGAAAAATTTCGGGTATCATACTTCAACGAAAATATTCATTTTGACTGCTATCAAATGCAATTTAATGATGTTTTTGCGTGAAATCTGTACGTAAGGACAGAATAAAAGACTCCTTTTCCCCAAACGAATTATAAAACTGATTGAAAATGGATTCAAAAGTTTTTTTTTTTTTTTTTTCGCTGCGTACATATGTATGTATGTATCTCGCATAACTAAAAAAGGAATAGCCTCAGAACGTTGAAATTTTGTATGTGGGACTGCTATAACATATAGATGTACACCTCTTTTTTTGGGTACAATCGGCCGGCACCGAAAGTATAGAAATATATTTGTATATGTATATATACATATCCATTTTGTTACTCGGCTCAGTGAGCTCAGTTTCTTTACTCTTATATGTTTGTAAATTGTGAATTTTGTGCTTTAAAAGTGAATGAATTATGTTGTTCTTATCTTTCGGTTAAGGTTTCCATGCCTTTAGTTAACCTACATGTTATAGTTGTAGAATTATCAACAATTTAAAAGTTGTTTAGTGCGGCGAAGCCTATTTTTTTACCATAGCTGGCATATATGTTTACATTTGAAACTTAGCAGAATAGTGGATTTGTTGCCAATCTAGACAAACTAAGCTTCGCAACAACAAAGTAACGTCTTCTTTTATTATTGCGAATTAAATTATGCTTAATTCATTCTGGAATTATCATTTAAGTTATTAAATTATCTCATATATTGACTCAGCATAACGTCCACAGCAAATTAAATCAGTTTTGACGCATTCAATGTCTTTTTGTCGAGTGAGACCAAAAGTAAACTTTCACTTTTGTGCACCGTAAAATCTGTCTTCTTGTCCTCTGGCCGAATTGCTTGTTTTCGCGTAGAAACTGTTATTTTAATTATAATTTTTTAACTGTATTTGTTGTTTCATGTTTTTCTATATCTTTATTCTTCTCTTTATTTTTCTTAGCTTTATATTTTGTGCTTTTATTATTTTTGCCTTGCCGCGAAGTGAGTACTGAATTAATTGAATGAAAATGCATCTCTAACGAAATTTGAGGAAATTAGTGTTTCATATTAGCAGAAAATAATGTCGCCAATCTGTTTCGGACAGAGGAAAATGTTTACGAGTAGCGCATGCGTATTAGGTAAGCATCGCTGAATTGCCTGTGAAAAACTGTTTATTTTTTATTTGTTAAATTCATTTTATGCATGTTTTTGATTTATTACAGTATTTGTATAGAACATGTGGTAACGATTAGATAATTCTTCGGATGATATAATTGTTGTGCATTCTGAGTTATAAAATGAATGACATGCAACTCTGTTAAGTGAATCTAGAGCCACAGTATCGCTATGGTAAATAAATATTGCGAATCTTAAAAAGCACATTTATTCTATTGTGGTTTATGAGCTATCGACGAAGTAGATTTAATTAAATTCACTATGTTTAAATAAAATACAGGAAAAAATGCATATAATAAAATATTCCGTATAAGGAAGTAATGTGGTGTACACATCTGATTTTTTATTAATGGAAGAAAGAATAATATTTGCATAATTTTATTTCATACTTAATTTTTTTTTATATTTTAATTTTCTTTTAAATTAATTTTATTGGTAAGCAATTAAGAATATTATTCTAAACATTGATTCATATTTAAAATAAAATTATTTTAGAGGAAATTAATGTTCCAAATTTATGGCTCAAACTAATAGAACATGTATGAAAAAAAATTCTGAAGCATGAAGTTTCAATCAAAAGTAAAAAAAATATACTTTAGCTATTAATGTTAATTATATTATGCTATTATGTTAATTATCATACGTCACAAAAACTATCATAAGCCTGATAAGAATGATAGAGTGAAAATCAAAATTGTCAATGAGAAATTCAAGCGAATTCACTGTAATCATTTTTATATATTTCTAATTTGTCACTTCTGTTTTTCCCCCAAATTCATTTCTTGCATGAGAGTCTTATGATTTTACATTTAGGTACGTATGATCAGATATATTATGATAGCTAATGAAAATTTTTTTTTACCTTTTACAACATTTGATTAAAAATGTATAATTTACAGAAGTTCTTTATCTGTTTTATTTCTAGTTTACAGAATGCGAAAATAATAATAATAAAAAAAAGCAACTAAAAAAATGTGAAAAGTTTCAGATTTTATATTACGTCCAAAGGGGCGTTTATTTAGCATTTTGTGCTTCACCTTTATTTATTAAATATCATGTTCTTCGCACTTAAAACATAAAATTCAGTTAAAGAGCAATATCGCAAAATAATTTTTAAATGAGCATATCTTTAAAATTTCCGATACACAGTCTCGCGCGCTGGAGATAAAAATGTTTTTTCTGTACAACGCTGCCAACGCTCGCTTTGAAATCCTTGATAATCAAAAAATTTTTCAAATTTCAAATTCGGGCTTAAAGATGCCCATATTCGAATGAAGGACTACGTTAGTCAAAATTTAATGTTACTTGATACCGTTCTTTTTCACAGTGCGAGAAACATACATATATTTATGCAGATTCTTCATTATTTAATTTCTTCAAATATAGTACAGGGCGATAATATTTGGTGGCAACAGTTTGAAAAATGAAACGTACATTCGTGAGTGATTCGACGCAAAATCGCAAAAGGAAAACAATAGTCCCCTAAAAATTCATTTTTTTAAATTTTATTTAAAAATTCATTTTTTTTCATCTAGAGTTTAGTCTTGGAAATCTATATTAATTTAATTTCTGCAATTGTCTTATCGCTTTAGAGTAATTTATGACAAAATATATCACATCTGTATTATTTTGAACCTTATTCTGTGATAATCCATTGTACAGATACGCATATGAATTTGATGATTTTTATCCGTTGCCCAACTGGCATAGTGGTTAGCGATGTTGACTGCCGTACCAGGGCGCCCGTTTTCTATTCCAGGAGAAGGCATGACTGTTTGTAAATGTATCGTGTTTGGGTGCATGGGGGCACTGTAAATATGTGGCGAGCAAAAGTCCTATCGAGAGGTTGTTGGTATTGGAAGAGGGGTGGGAGACCCTGGACACATCCTCCAGGGTACTCACCATCAAATTTGGGGGCGGAACTGAGAAAAGTCGCACTTTCACCTGCATGGTGCTCAAAGCCCTTGCTAACGGGCTCAGTCTTGCACTCTTTGGTACGATCTATTTCGTGGACTTGTTCTAATGTTATTGTAAGACAAGTGAGTATTTAACCAAGTTTGCATTTATTTCGAACAACAATGAATTTTGTTTTATTTATTTTAAATTATAAACCTGGTTATAATTAGCTGCTAGAATTTTCTTACGTCACATAAAAAAAAGCATTTTAAATCTGCTTACTATCCTTAATTTTCTATTCCTTAGTTCTTAATGTAATCAATGTCTTTTAATTTTTCGTACTCCATTACTTGTATTATGCTACCACAACATTTTAATCACCAAAGAGGATTTATAAACTTCTAGCTGTTAAAGTTATTTTTAATTTTCCAAAGCAGATCTTTAATTTATCTTTCCTGATAAATTGCCAATTATGGATCAGATTTTTAGCACATTTTATTGCATATAACTTAACAAACTAAGCGATTTAAAAATAAATACAGGCAAATTTTAATATCTTTTATTTCATTTCTAATAATATATCTACTTCGTAACATGTGATTTATCTAACTGACAGTTTTTATTCATACAATTAGTGTATAATATTCCCAAAAAGGTTCATAAAAAAATTTTTCCAACACTACAGATTATGTACTCAGATAAAGCAAGATAATTTTAGTTTACAAAAAATATATATCATAATATATAAGAGTGAATACTCTCCTTAGGAAAGTCTATATTCTTTTCATTTTTGCACGGGTTTACCTTTTACTTGCTCTGCGCCCATTTATCACCCAAACGGCCTAGGAAATTTTGCGTTCTGAAAAGTGTCGCTATTCCTTACTAAATAAGATCTTTAACTTGCTTTCCAAATTGTAAATATTGTTACTTTCCTAGTAAAGCTATTTAAAAGCATGTTTAAATAATTTATATTTGAATTTTATTTCTTTATATCTCTAATAATTTTATGCACATCTAATTAGTTAATTTACCTAATTGACAATTATTAAATATTTGCCATATTAGTTGCAATTAACAAAAAAAATACTTCTAACCTTATCTACCAGCAGGTAAGCAGTTTCTAGTTTCATATCTCGGTACAAAACAATTATTCGCAAGCCAATTAACAAACAGTTTGTTGCACATTGTCTCTTTCATCACATCACCTGACTTTACACATCTATA